CGGGCAGCTGGTCGCCGGCCTCGGCCGCCACTGCCTTGGCCCCGGGCTGCCCCGCAGCCCCCTTGCCCCCGCCGTCGAAGGAGTTGGAGGGCGAGGAAGAGGCGCTGGAGGTGCAGGAAGCCACCGACAGGCGGTCCAAGTCCGCGCTCATCGCCTCCTTCCCGAAAGAGACGGATGCTGGCCAGCCACGGGGAAGCAGGACATCGGGAGACAACTGGACCGCGGGGCGAGCTTGGGAGTCACTTGGGGGGCTCCCTTCTCCTCGCCCCCCTTGGCTGGAAGGGCGAGCCGGCGGGCGGAGGAGCCATCGGGGGTGCCCGGGCGCCGGAGAAGGGGAAGGAGACCCGGGGGGCAGGCGCGCTCCGGGGAAGGCGTCGGCGATCTGGCTCCCGGGCGGCGCAGCTTCCCTGCAGCGGCGAAGATCTTGGCCTGCGCTTTGCAAGGCGAGGAAAAAAGAGGAAGAGAGTTCAGAGCCGGGGGAGGCGCGGAGGACGGATTCCGTGGCCGAGTCCGCCGCGGCCAGCTCGCCTCCCTGCCTTCGGCGGAGCGCTGGCGTCTCCCAGCTCCCGAACTCCTTGGCGCCTCCTGGTTGGCACAACTCTGCTTCGCCCGAAGAGCAATAACCACATCAAGTATGGCAATTATTATTATTATTATTATTTTTTGCAAAGGTGCACGGTCTCGCCCTGCCCGCGGTCCCCCTTTGCCCTTTCTAAACAACCACCACGGATACCCTTGTCAAAAGAGCCTCTCTTTCTGCAGACGCGGCTTTCCCGAGCACGCCAGCCAGGACTTTCTTCAACTGTTGAGCGCCCCTTCAACCTCCGCAGCTGCCAGTCTGGCGGGACCAACCTCTTGGCAGAAACCTGCTCAGGAAGTGACGCGCCTCCCGGTTGCCAAGAGACGGACTGATACAGTCCGGGCTCCGGCAAGGTGAAGGTGCTGAGCGCGATCGAGCCCCGCCAGCTCCGGCCAGGCTGCCTGCGACCAGGACGAGGCTTTTCCTCTGCCCACTTTCCCCCGCTTCCTGGTCCGTCCTGTTCCACCCCACCCCACCAGGTGCCCTCCTTATGCCCCAAATCCTCGCCAAGATGCCTGGCTGAAACCCAACGGGAGAAGCTTTCTCTGAACGGTGCCAAAAAAGAACCAGCCACACGGACTTCCTGCTTGCTGAGAAGAATCCCTGGATGGACCTGTCGTTTAAGAAGGAGAGCTTCAGGTTGGAAAAGGTCTTGCAGGAAGCAGTGAGGCAGAGATAAAGATGTTCCTCCGCCATGAACTCAAAGGCTCCACCATCTGTATTCCTACCAAGAAGAAAATGATCCAGATTTGGGGTGGTGTTGATGCCAGACAGATGTTCACCACTGTATCTCTTCCTTTGCTTTCTCTTTCTCCCTTCTCTTTCTCCTTTCCACACACAACCTGTACCCGAAGCTAAATGCATTAAAAATGCATTCCAAGTTGGAAATGCAACAGGCAAAGCTTTCCTCTGTCCTCCCTCAAAGTTGCTCACCATGGAAGTGATCCTGGTGCCTTGCATGGCAGATCTTTCTAGAACAACTTCAGGTTTGCATCTCACCTTCTCTTTCATGGCAACTTCTCTCCACCCCCAAGACCTTTAGAAAAGGCAGTAACTTATCAGACACATTTCTTGCCAAACAGCAGCACCGATTGAATTCCTGCCTATTCAGCATCAATCCAGGTGATTAAGCTGGCATTGTCCAGCTTTTTATAGAAATGCCAACAGGACTCTTGCACCATTAAAAATGTGGGTCTGGTAGGGCGATTTGTAAAGATGCCCATAAACAGCATCTGCTTTATGGCCAAGACAGGTTTTGTGGATCCTCCTCCTTGTTATTCTTGCAATGAAGAGAAAGCACTTTGTGCATGCTCTCTGCTGCTCGTGAACCAAATCTGAGCCCCTGCTCTTTTAAAATTAAATAGATTTAATTACAGAGGAAAGGAAGCCAACCCCCAACCATAAAAAAGCTCCGGAGGAAACACAATTGCTTCCTTCGCCAAATGTGTTAGGGGGACATCAGAGGAACTGCTTTCCTTAAAGGAAGGGTTAATTGTATGCAAAGGAGCTAATCTTCTTGAAGGGTTGTTTTATGCTCCTTAGCTTGGGCTACCTAATTGCCCCTCCCCAATCTCTCTCTCTCTCTCTCTCTCTCTCTCTCTCTCTCTCTCTCTCTCAACGCTTTAGAAAATGCAGTCAGTTAACCCCAAGATTGCCAAGCTGATGGGACATGTTAGAGCTGCCAAAAAAGCCAAGAGGAGATTTATTTTCAATTTCTCCCACCTCTCCCCCCCCCCCCCCCCCCCGGGTAAGAAACACTAGAGATACTGCTGCAGAGTTAGCCACAGAACCACCTGAGAGCCTTGGAAAGCTCAACTCGATACCATGATGGGATTAGTCCCAGGATTTCAAAGTGGTGCAGAGGATAAAAATAAATAGGGTTTTTTCCCCCCCCTTGAGTCAAGTTTGACTCCTGAAGACCATGGAGCCCTCCTGAAGTTCCTTAGAAGTCTGCTATCCAAATATTCACCAACAACAACAACAACACATTTTAAAATTTATATGCTGCCCAACTCCCAGCGACTCTGGTTGGTTAACTAAGTCTGACCATGTCTAGTTTCTGGGTCCAGATGGCTATCTCATAAATCATGAATGTTATTCTAGATTATAAATGGTTCACCTGCTCTTTGCTTCATTCCTCCCTATATGCATTTCCATTACATTGTCTTTTTCTGTGTTAGACGGTATCTCACCATCTGTTTATTCATTCCTTAGTCTTGACACACACATTCTAATGAGCAACATTCTGGTGGCCTTTCCCCCCTTTTTTATTCAAAAACACCAAGAGACCCCCTCCCCAAGTGCTGATAACAATGGAATGACTCATGATGCAAGCCATCCCCGACTTTTCCCCCCAACTCGGAATGAAATAGAAATGAATTATTTCACTATCGCAAAAACGTCTG